CATGGGATGAACTTGATCGGCCAAAATGTTCACATAAGTGTTGGCAGTCATGTGCCCTGACACAGTTATCATGGGGCTATCAGAGAACCACGATATGGCTGCCCAAACCATAACAGAACCCCCGCCATGTTTCACTCTTGGCAACAAGCAGTCTGTATTATAGGCTTCAGATGGCGTTCTCCAGACGTAAACTCGGCCAGAAGTGGGACAATGTGAAAGAAGACTCGTCACACCATATTACTCGCTTCCACTGCTCTATAGTCCAGGCTTTATGACTTAAACACCACCTTTTCCTGTTACGGGCATTAGCATCACTGATGAGTGGCTTTTCAATTGCAGCACGGCCAGCAATTCCCTGTTTATGAAGCTCCCTTCTAATTGTTTTGGTACTCACAGGGTTCGGTAACACAACATTCATTTTAGCAGTAACTTCAGTAGCTGCAGCTGTGGTCTTCTTATTTTTCGTCACAATTGCCCTTAATGATCGTCTGTCACGATCACTCAGGACACACTTTCGTCCGCGCTGTGATTTAGCAGATGATGTTTTTCCGCTTTTCAAATATGCGGAATAAATCTTCGACACAGTACCTCTTGAAACACTAAACACCTCGGCTACCTTGCTTACGGAAGCACCTACCATACGTGCTCCAACAATTTGCCCACGTTCGAAGTTTGTTAACTCTGGCATAATGCAATGACAACCTCACATAACAGTACTCCGACAACAACTGAACTGTTTAGCACATTTACGAAGTTGTATAGGTGGCGTCAGTACTCAAAAACGCTAGCGTCACCTACATATTTCATTAAAATCAATCTTTCTTTTCAAACATGCATTTCACAAGGTGTTTCCATATTTTTGTCCATCCACTGTATGTCGTAGAAATATTATAAGCAATTAGATTTAATGCCAAAAGGAGTAGCTCAATCATTAAAACAAGAAAACGAAGCTACTTCTCAAACTTTGGGATTAAAAGAAAATAAAATGATTCTACTCTCTGATTACTCCGAAGAGTAATAAATGGGGTTAAAAGCATCTTTTAATAATTATAATAATTCTCAAAATGTTCATAAAAATTTTAATATGTATGACAAAAATACAAGTCTAAATTATGAAAATGTGCATTTATTGATTTTAAATCGTTCAGCTTGTTAATCGAAAATAGATTTATTAATCGAAAGATAAATTAAACATGTATCTCATGTTTCGCGGAATAATAACATTCTGGAGAGTGATTATAGGCCATGCCCCCCGTGGAAGATAATTTAAATGTTATGTCATACGTAACATCAATATTTGCTAGGTTGTGTTAATAGTAATGCATGGTCGCGTAACATTATATACACTCGAGAAAATATTAGAAAGTTTTTCCTGAAAACGTATCTAATATCAATTTCATTTTCATGCGATTTTAGATACAATTACGGATAGATAACATTAGATTAACTAAGATAAAGTCGTCAAAATCTATGAAACCTAACCCTTCATGCATATCAGTAAACTTGCTCATCCATGAAAATTATATCTGATCCAGATAAAAAGCTAAATATTCTAAAAAATTTAACGTGATCTGATAACATAATGGTAAAGGGTTGGTGCCCACGTCCTCCGTCACTAAACTAAACTATATTCTAGAAAATGAAACTTTATCCGGATACAAAGCTAAATATTCTAAGTTTTTATTATTTCACGCAGAACTAGAAGAATGTGGTATTCCTCGTATAGTTAACGTATCTGATTTTTGTCATGAAATTAGATCCTCGAATATTTCATGGATTCAATAACTTGCGAATTTCCAGGCGTTTCAATTCATGAATTAGTGAAATATTATGCTGACGCCTAAAGTCATTAGTAGATTTGATGTGTTAAAAGATATCTAAAGTATGGCAACTGGAAGAACGATGTGTAATAATTAAAACAGTTTTGATAACTGTATTTTCTAAAGCACTGTCTGCAGTGAAGCTAATGCAGTAACAGCTGTTGTAAAAAGAATTGTTTACCATGATTAAGATATTTTATGAAACATATTACATTTCTTTCCTAACATCGCGAATTAGAAAATATTATAAATTATTAATATTATAAATGTATATTAATTAATTATTAATATTAGAAAATTATGATAAAAAAGGTGAAAAAATACAGCAACACAGCAGTCATAAATTACCAGTGCATTGCTAGTAGATTATTTGCTCATGAGTCGTAAAATTATGCATTGTATAAATTAATTAGCAACGGGCACATGATATAACGCGACGTTTATAACGTACATTGATGTTTCACGAAAGATCGATAATGACTTTCTCTGAGTGTATAAGACTGCTGAACAATGGTAGTTCATCCCAGCTCTGAATCCTGGGAAACGAGCTAGTTGCATCAGTGTGTTCGTGATTTTGCTCACTTGTAGCATTAATATGAATTATTCTTACATAGGTATTTCTGCCCGAACAAACTTTAACTCAGATAACTTTGCTTTATTTAAACAACCATAAACAAACAACGTATTAACAATTGTAAAAAAAGGGGGTATTCACATTTTGTTAAAAATTTTGTTTCAAATGATTTTAAGGTATGTGATGTGCACTACATTTCCTCAAAGAAAAGAAATTTGACTTGCTACAGCACAAAAAAAAATACAGAGAGAGACAATTCTAGCACCTACGAAAATTAAATCTAATTATTACTGCATGTAGAGCTTACCTAATAATTAATTAATAAAACATTGAGAGCTAACTGAAAAACCTACAAAATGTATTCCAATTAGGAACTGAAATGACATACATCTCTCTTGCCCCAAAGAGAACTGCATGAAGTCGGTTCATACGTCATGTGCAATAAATCCTCATTTTTAACCTTCATACCGTCTAAGACAGTCTTTATGAATCAAAAACACTTAACAGCTTCTGTTTATACTTATACATCAACTTCTGTTTATACAACCAGCCCTAGAAGTCCTTGAATTTTAAATTGATTTTTTTTCATCAAAAAGATCACATTTAGTTCGTTTTTCAATCTCTTTCCAGCCTAAGTTTTCTCAGAGCTTTAAATTCCTTCAATTATATTTAAATTTGCAAAAGTTTCTATTATAAAAATGGCATCCGGCTTTATATGCCAAACTCAATATTTAAAGACTAATGAATTAATAAGTTTTATTAGATGATCGTGATTAATTAAATAATACACAATTTTTCCTTCTGAAAGTCTCTATTTGGGGGGGGGGGAGGTGTTGTTGTAATTCACAGCAATCGTGACTTTTCGTAGTGTCTCTAAATGTAATTTTTTTATGCATTGTTAACTTTGACTACGTTATAGCAAATAGTAAGGAATGGTTTGGTTTGGTTTGGTTTACTGAGATAATGGCAAAGCACACTAAGACTATCTGCTTAAGGAGAAGGAGGCATTTGTGGAAGACCTTCTAAGAATAAAGGGTTCATATACATGTCACACGTGAGGAAAACCATGCAAACACCCATGCAACCAGCCCTGGAATCGAACCAGGTCGGAATTACCATTGTTCAGAGAATTTTACCGCTTGTCCGTTGGTGAGCCATAATAACGAATGAACATAGACACAAATATTTATAAAAATGGTCGCTTGACCATGGGTAGACAAAATTTTAAATTCACAGACCGAAATAGTCCGTGTTAAGTTAGGTTTGACAGTTATCGCCGCGATATCGAGCGAAGTGCGACGTTTCCGGCTCAATCAGATGTAGCCACATAGACACATAATGTAGCAAGGTCATAACAGATGAGATCGTGGCTGATGATGTAGCAGGGGGTGACTTAGGACATGCAAGGAGACACAAGACCAACGCCAAGGCATAGCAGGACAAAGTGAAGCATATCAGTAGCACATAAGTTCAATAAAAAATAAACGCGACATCATAGAGATGGTCCATATTTCCTGCAGAACATTTATATAAGCACAATGGCTGCCAACGTTTTCTATGCTCCATCTCCATAAGAAAAGGTTTAATTAATGTGCGCATCTCCATCGAAAGAAATATCTCTCCTGCAAATCATTTGATACGATTCCTGAATCGAACACAAGCCATTCTTTATGGCACGCCCTAGAACACCATATCGCACACTAGACTGGGAACTCATATATCAGAGACATTAAGAGATTCAGGAACATAGGGAATGAGAAAAATAACTGTGGCTTTCTTTATTCATATGTTCACATTCCGAGATATTTTTATTAGTTTTTTGAACAGATATTTATCAAACTGAACAAAAAAATTGCGTGACATATAATCAGTTTTTTGAACAGATATTTATCAAACTGAACCAAAAAATTGCGTGGCATATAATCAGTTTTTTGAACAGATATTTATCAAACTGAACAAAAAAAAAAAATTGCGTGGCATATAATCAGTTTTTTGAACAGATATTTATTAAACTGAACAAAAAAAATTGCGTGGCATTTAATCAGTTTTTTGAACAGATATTTATCAAATTGAACAAAAAAATTGCGTTGCATATAATCAAAACCCGATTCAGATAGTATTCAGATAGTCTGTGCTCTAGAAGCGAAATATTCATGTCGAGGCCAAAACGCCTTGTTTTTACGGGAAAAACAGGATTATAAGGAGCCTTTATATGATTCGATGTCCTAAACTTGGCTATTAGAGACCTAGGCGTAATTAGGCGTAGGATGTGAAAGTTAAAGACAGTTATCCCTTTTCCAATTATATAGTCATGCAAAAAAAGAGGGGAAAAGGAATAAGAACAAATTTCAAATTAAAATTATCACTTCAACCTAATACTCACTAAATAAAAACTTATATTCAAATTAAGATTTCGCAATTCTTTTTTTTTTTTTTTTTTTTTAACCACGGCATGGTATAAATACGTTTCTGTAAAATTCAATCTAAAATTTAGATATAATTATGCATATGTAAAACCTTTAGACGGGCAGTTAAAATCATACTTAAAATAATAAAAAGAAAGCATATGATTTTACAACAAAATTGTAATATATAAATTGCCTTACTTCTTCTTTTTCTTCACCTGCGTTAACAACGGAGGTAGATATCGACAAAGCAACCAGGAATACGGTAAGTAATAATACAACAGTTGAAGAATTCATGACGGAATTAGATGGTATATTGAATACTCAAAAACAAGATTCCAAGCGGACAAACAACTTGCGCCGGTGTTAAAAAACTACGAAGTAGTCTGCGTTTGGAAACCTTCAGGTGGTCGCGCGATGTACATTTTGGAGATTCTGCGCATGCTGATTCTGATTGGATAGCGCGGTTGTTTGGTCCACTGTTCGTTATACGTCACAGGCGCTAAAGTATGACAGAAGAAAGGAATGAAAAAAAAAATTGGCGAAGAAGTATTCTAAAAGTGAATTTTATGCCCAGTTATACAATGCACCCAGGGAAGGAAAAGATTTACTGACGACATTAATTACTGAAATTTTGACATGCGACATAGTGTTTGGTGACGACGAAATGCAGGCACGAATGAAAAAGCAAAGAATGAATAATAATAAAACGAAAGCATCTAACCGAATGAAAAAATTTCTGTTTGCACATATGGGACATCTACACTTTTTTCCTTGTCCCCCCTCCTGTCTCTTAACTAATTTGACCGAAAGAAACAAACACAGTTTCTTTCATCAAATGATCTTATTTGAAGAAATAAAAGGCAGCTTCTAGTCTGCAGTGCACATAGAACGAAGGTTTAAGTATTCAGGTTTTAGTTTATGAGTATAAAAAACTGCTTTTTTCTTGAGGTTTCTATATTTATCAATAGTTTCTTCACTTTTTCTTTATTAATTTATAAAATACTTTAAAAAAATAATCTAAATTAAAAAAAAAAATTTTTTTTAATCTGAAGGCTTTCAGATTTTATATTACCTTTTTTTTTTTTTTTTTTTTTTTTTTAAGTTTGTGTGTTGCCTTTATTTATTAAATACCATGTTCTTCGCACTTAAACCATAAAATTCAATTCAATAGCAGTATCACAAAATATTTAAAAAGAGCATAACTTTAGAATTTCCAATACACAGTCTCGCGCACAAGAGATTTTCTTTTCCCCGTTTAGTGTTTCTATTTCTCGCTTTGAAATCGTTAAGTTTGTTAAACAAAAATTCGTTAAAGTTTTACAAAATATGAAATAGATAATAAAACAAATTCCAAATTTGGGCTTCCAGATGCCCCTATTCGAGTGGAGGACTACGTTATTCAAAATTCGATATCTCTAGGTACCTTTGTTTTTTTTTCACAATGCGAGAAACATACGTACATTTCATGCGGATTCTTCATTATTTAATTTCTTTAAAATTTATTGAAATATAATATAGAGCTCTAACATTTGGTGGCAACAATTTGAAAAGTTAAACGGCGTTTTATATTGGATGCCACAAAATGCCAAAACCAAATTTATAGCCCTTCTGAGCAAATTGCCTCTTTGGGCTAAAAAATATTTTTTCGAATTTTAGAAAGGAAAGAGAGAATAATAATCTAGCAATGACTAAAGAGGTTTATGGGATAAAAAAAAAAAAAAAAAAGTTTGAGAATCCCTTATGTAGAGCTTCTATGTTAAGTTGCTAACATTATAAATCAAACTACTGCTCGGAAATTTGTGAAGTATCATACAACATACATGCTTTGTATGAACTTCCTGTTTTCTTTCATGCATTTTCTTACCAAACTATGTCTGTCTTTCTGTTTTTCAACCCTTAGATATACTTTTGAAAATTCTACCTAAAAACTTCAGTATAGAAAATATGACGCAACTGATTCTCGATTTTAGATTTTAAGAACTACATAGAACGGCGCTCAGAAAATTTCATAAAAATCGAAACTCCCTAATTAAGAATATCATTAAAATGACAATAAACTTTTCAGAAGGAAAGTCATAGTTCGCAAACAACTTCGTATGATAACAACGCGAGTCCATTGCACAGAGCCAGATTTAGACATGATAAGGCCCTAAGGTATTTGAGATATAGGGCTCTTTATAAGTCTGTTATACTATATTTTAATATTACATTTTTAATATATTTTAATTTCGTCCCCCCCCCATCAAGAAAGCGGAGGCCCTAACCTATAGCTTGTGAAGCTTATACACTGACTACCAAGAAGTATTTGGACACCTGTGATAGAAAAGGAAAACTAACTTTATTAAAAATCAATAGTTGGTAGAGCCTCCGCGAGAGGTAATTACAGCGTGGACCCTCCGGGGCATACTTTCTACAAGTCTTTGTATGACAGCTAGTGGTATTTTCTTCCACTCGGCTTGGAGAAGACATAGAAGTTCCTTCACCGATTTTGCACGGGTAGTACACTCCTGAATTCGGCAATGCAACTCGTCCCAGAGGTTCTCGATAGGGTTCAGGTCTGGACTCTGGGCAAACCAGTCCATTCGATGAACTCCATTGGCACCATACCAAGCCTTGGTTAACGTCGAAACATGACAACTGGCATAGTCGTCCTGAAAGTAACAGGGGTCCAACCCGTAAAACTGCCGCAACGTAGGAACCATCCAAAACAGTCATCCAAAATAGTGCAGTATTGTCATCCAAAATATTGTCATCCAAAATATTGTCATCCAAAATAGTGCAGTATTCCAAAAATTATATATTATATATATATTATATATAACAATATCCAAAAATTGTCATCCAAAATAGTGCAGTAAGCATCGGAGTTGAGCTTACCATGAATGGGGACCAAGGGTCCCAGCCCATACCAGGAGAACCATCCCCAGACCATAATTCCACCTCCGCCGAACTTGACTGTTGGCGCAATGCATTCTGGCAGGAGACGTTCTCCAGGTAGACGCCAGACCAAGACCCTGCCATCCGAACGGTAAAGGGTGAACATTGAATTCGTCTCTCCCGTTTCCACTAATCTAGGGTCCAATTTCGATGTGCTTTGCACCACATTAACCGAGCAGCGCGGTTCGACTTTGTGATCAAAGGCTTATGGGCAGCAGGACGACCATGAAAACCAAGCAGATGTGCTTCCTTATGGATGGTATTCATTGAAACAATACTCCCGGATGCCTGTTGAAACTCCTCGCGGATGGGGGCCATCGGTTGGGTGCGGTTCTTCCGAATTTCTCTGGATAGCACTCGTCGGTCTCTATCTCCCAGTTTCGTTGGTCTGCCGACTCGGGGCACATTCCGACAATCACCGCTCACCTTCCACTTCTTAGTCTCATAGGACACTGTCGATTTTGGGTACTTCAGATCGATAGATATATCCCTTAAGGATCGGCCACATTTGTGATACCCGATAATTATACCTTTCTCGAAATCAGAGAGCTCCGAATTGCGAGGTATCTTGCATGCGACTAAAGCCGATGCTGTTTCCTACACGATATATACCGGCGGAGTCCGTGACGTATCTTAGGATCGCAGATATCGTCATTTGCACAGGTGTCCAAATACTTATTGGTAGTCAGTGTACATAAATCCTGCACTGCCATTGCATTCCCAGTCCTTATGAAAACATCTGAAAGTCCTTATGAAAACATCTGTAGATATTATGTAGATGAAAAATCTTCCGTAACATAAGGCGACACAGTAGTTATACACACATTCACAGAACAAATATTTCTAAAAAAAATTATGTAGCACATTGTTTGCATAATTTTATAGCAGCGTTACGTAACAATTCCTCTTTATTTTGAAAAATTAAAATTAAAGCCATTTTGTTAAAGAACTAGCACAAATTTTTAATAAAATTTGGTTTGGCTCCACTCTTTCATACCAGTTTGGTATTTATCTATAACAACAACACAAATATAATTAGTTAATTTTAAACTAAACTCAAATTCAGGTAAAATGCATACATTTCAAGTGTCACTAAATTCTGCGTCGCTGTTTTTATGTAAATAGTTTTCTTTTGCTTAGGTAATAAGGCATGTTAGCTGTGTAGGAGTTTTTTTATCCAAATGGAAGTTGGCCCAGAAGGGCTATTACTCTCAAAACGGAATTTTGCGCGAATCACTTTAAATGTCCGTTTTGCTTTTCAAATTGTTGCCACCAAATATTATCGCCCTGTATTATATTTTAAGAAACTCAATAGTGAAGAATCTGCATGAATGTATGTATGTTTCTGGCATTGTGAAAAAACAATTGTACCTAGAGTCACCAAATTTTGAATAACATATTCCTCCACCCGAACATGGGCACCTGGAAGCCCGAATTTGGAATTTGTTTTATTGGTCAATTTAATATTTTGTAAAACTTTTAATTTTATAACAGTTACTTTAATTCAATTGTACTTTCCTATCTTTCCTCGTTTCAACTTACAACTCCCTACCAGAATGAGTTTTTAGAATCGCGTTGAAAGCAAATGAGTAAGAAGTCGTATTAAAGGAAGGTTGAACTTACTTCGAGAGAGAGAGTAGGAATCCTAAGCAGTGCGCGTTTGCCTTCGGCCCAAGTCTCTAGAAGGTGTTACGCTCTAGTCGTATATTACTCTGCCTTTTACGTTATAGTTACGTGCTATTTAGGCTAGTTTAAATTTAAGGGCCAACTACCTTAGATTTGTGTTATCTTCGGCTGAGTCTCTTAGATACATATAGTTAGTTTTCTTATTTTAGAGTTTAAACCCAAGTGGAGGCTTTGTTGCAAGCTCGAAGAAAGGGGCCAACTGTCCATCTTATTTTGAACGAAATAAAGGGTAGTTAACCTTTCTTGAGTTTACAATTTCTGTTCTAAGCGATAATTCGCTTAACAGCTCACCAGATTCCTCGAAATTTACTTTAGTAGAATAAGAGTGAGAACACTACAACTTTAACAAATTTTTGATTAAAAAACTCAGCAATTTCAAAGCCAGCAGTGGCAACACTGTTCGGAATAAGACATTTTTATTTCCAGAGAATGAGATCTGTCGGAAAGTCTAAAGGTATGCTGGTTTTTAAATGTTTTTTAGCCCAAAGTGGCGTTAGCCCAAATGCTCTCGAAACGTGCATATGTCTGTAAATGAAAAAAATCGCCCGTCATTTAAAATCTAAAAAAGCTTTCAGACCTTTTTTTTTCTGACATTTATTAACTAGTGCATGCTTTTCCTACAGGGAAATTGCAAATTTATTAATTGCACGTTTTTTTTAAATTTTTAAATAAAAGAGTTATAAAATTGCATAAGAATAAATATATATTATAAATTGCATAAGAATAAATATAAAATTGCATAACTAATTAAATTTAATAATTGTCAGAATAATAGGAATT